ACCCTTGCCCCCGTGCTATTTACATTTGTGCATTACAGTTTCTTGCTAATTCATCAGTCCACTGAAATACAGTCTGTTTCTGCCCTTTTCTCCCACTTTATGACTACTCCTTCCCCTTATACTACAGCCCAGCTGTGGCAGACAAGGTGGCCTGTGAAAGCCAACCCTCAGCGCTGACACACGGCTGCAGGCACTGCAAGCGCCTCGTGGCGGGTCTGGAGCGCGCCTACCAGGTCACGCCGTACCCTCGCCAGATTTCAGGAGCGCGCACAGTAGGCAACAAGACAACCGTGAGCACTTAGCAAAGAGACAGTCCAGCTCATGCACTTCTTTCATTGTGAAAGTTTTGAAGCAAGATGTATTTAACTCCAAGACCACACTAGCTGTATGGTAAGGCATAAGACAAAGGCAAAAGAACACTAAGCACAAGAGTTATTTAGGGAAAAAAAAAAAAAAATTCTTCTGTTAAGCGGAAGGAACTAGAGGATGCCCACTTTTGCTATTAGGCAGGTAACTACGGTAGCAAATGTTCAACCATGGAGCTCTGCTAAAGCACTGACGCTCTTTCAGAAGGCTTCTGGACAGTTCAGGTTCAGGTTGGTTTTCCTGAACTGTTCCTTGGTTGGAACAGTCTGAATTACAGGCATGAGATGTGGTTGCATTGAGATAGTCTCCAACCACTTACATTTAGATTAGCACCATTTTTCTCACCCCAAGGCTCAAGCACACAGTTTTTCTGAGCTTTAGGACCAGGGTCACTCTGAGCTCAGAGCTTACCCTGCAGTTAGGTCCCTGCACAGCAAAATTCTAAAACTTCTAAATTTCATAGCTCAAACTGTGGCTCATTGCTCCTTTAAGGACAGAAGTGTGTGCGCAGGGAAATCACAAGATTTTAGAAGAGATCATGCAGTAACAGCCATGGTTCAAATCACCCTGAACAAGTAGGGAATTGCTAATAATTGTAACTGATCCCATCAGCGCAGCTCCAGTGAAAGGGATGTGTGAGGGGAAACACTTCCAGACACGACTTACAGCCCTCTCTCATTTCTCCACTCTCAACCGAATATCAAACACAACTTCAGAAAATCTGGAACTTATGCAGTAGTGCTTTAGCAGCAACACAAAAAATTATCTTCTCACAGAAGTATTTCAGCATTGTGAAGACTGACTAGAAGTATGCACCGCTCCACTCTGTTTTTAAAGTTACACTAGGAGCTTGTTATTCAGCTCACTTTTCCTCCCACAGCATATTCTGGTGACATTTGATGCTTGGTTAGCCCAGTTTGAGTTGTCAGAGGGCAACCTACATACTTCCTTCCCCAACTGGATGACCTTTTTAAGGGAAAACACTAAGATCTCTGTGCTGGTTTTGACTGGGACAGAGTTAATTTTTGTCACAGTAGCTAGTATGGGGCTGTGTTTTGGATTTGTGGTTAACAGTGTTAGTAACAGAGAGATGTTTTCGTTGTTGCTGAGCCGGGACAGCTGACCCCAACTGACCAAAGGGATATTCCATACAATATGGCGTCATGCTCAGCAATAAAATCTGGAGGAAGAAGGAAGGGAGGACGTGATGGCTTTTGTCTTCCCAAGTCACCACTACGCATGATGGAGCCCTGCTTTCCTGGAGATGGCTGAACACCTGCCTGCCATGGGAAGCAGTGAATGAATTCCTTGTTTTGCTTTGCTTGCGTGTGCAGCTTTTGCTTTGCCTATTAAACTGTCTTTATCTCAACCCACGAGTTTTCTCACTTTTATCCTTCCGATTCTCTCCCCCATCCCACCGGGGGGGAGTGAGCGAGTGGCTATGGGGGCTGAGCTGCCAGCTGGGGTTAAACCACAACACTCCTTTTTGGTGCCCGACGTGGGGCATGAAGGGTTTGAGATAGCAACAGGTTTGATTGGAATGCGCTAGATTGAATTTAGAGCTGTTATTGCTCTTTAGCTATTAATTGGCAGGCCCCTGGGCTTGCTCGCCTCACTGTGTATCAGCCTAGCGCTCCTTAGTGACTGCTTTTTGCTTTCCCTGCTTGCTGCACTGCCGCTCCTCTTACTCTGCCGTGCCCGGGAAACCTTTTGATAACGGCAAGGGGGATGCGCCTGGGCTGGCAGGTGGCCAGGGCATCGCCGCTGTTTCTGTGCAGCTGTACGGGACAAGCTGGAACTCCAGCGCGAACTCGAGTGGAAGGGACTGCGACCTGCGGATGAGTCCACGTGGGAGCAGGACACCTCGAAGCCCTCGAAGCATCTGTGGCCGTGGCTACGCCGGTGCCGCAGCAGGTACGCCTCTAAGGGGACTGTGGCCCACGGCTAAGGCCACGCTGGAGAAGGTACACCTCGAAGCACCTGTGGCTGTGGGTAAGCCCATGCTGCAGCAGGTACACCTTGAAGCATCAGTGGCTGTGCGTGAGGTCAGGCTGGAGCACCTCAAAGCGTGTGGCCACGGATAAGCCCACGACAATCTCCCAACCAAAACCATCTGCAGCAGCCTAAGTAACGCTGAGAGCATTCTTGTATATCCAGTAAGTAATCCGGGGGGAGAGAGGGTGTAGTGGCAGGGAGAAGAAGAGCTATCAGTATGAATTTATGGAAGCAGTTACAGAAGTTCAATGTGATAGCAACAAGAAAAATCTCTCACAAAGACAACTTAAAATGACTTTATTTTTGAAGCATATTAGCACAATATTTACAAAATTTTGTCAGGTTTCATAAATAAACACGCTCTTGGGTAAAGACTATAGATCTCTAAATATTTAAAATGTCTATATATTTATACATACACACATACATACGCACACAAATGGAAGCATACACTTAGGAACAGCTTTGGTTTTAAATTACTGGTGGGAATGGGCTGGGTGTATCAATGACTTCTTCAGCTCTCGCTTTTAAATTTGTACCCGCAAGAAATCCAGAGCAGAGCCCTTAACACAACAACAGGACGCTGGGTTTCTCCCACTTCCAGGGCAACTGAGACTGCAGCCTGTACATGGCCACCGAGCTCCTCACATTGCAGCAATGCCTAGTAACAGCTCGGCCTCATCCCACAGTGACACAAACGGGTTCTACTGCACTTTGCTTTACAGAAGTTAACATAAAGCTATTATACAAAATGATTTTTATAAGGCAGAATACCTCAACAGAATTCCAGCTGGTTTGTTTTTTATTCCTCAACTGCTCAACTTTCAACTTGCCAGATGGAATCACTAGTTACACATAGGGAGCTCTGCACAGTACTTAATCAGGTAAATTCTTACACCGAATTGTTAGCGGAGAGTAATCTCCCATCTTTAGGTAGAGATTGCTGTGATTATGGAAAAACCTGTACCAAAAGATTCATATATAGGAGCTCAAATCTTACATGAATACTCCCACTGACAAACTTGAAAGTATGACAGTAAGTGTAAACCATACAGGATGCTTCAATGTTTTATCACATGAATAACCTTCTTCACTGTGGCCAGTTCCACTGATTTTAGTGAGGGCTGGGCCATGGGTTGCTTTAAGCAGCTCAGTCCCGCAGCCCTAGCAAGAGGACTGTTTATGGGAGGAAATATTGTAAAATCAGATACTTCAATTTTATTTTGTTGAATTCTTGATGCAAGGTGTCTGCATCCAGACTTGGAGCTCAACAATGCAGAGATGTGAATCTCTGCAACATGCACCCACATGGATATGAACCTCAGTTTACAACATCCAGCTCTGAGACATGCCAAATTACTTGGAATCTTTAAAAACATGGATTTTATTACAGCACTGTTTGGCAACAGCTTTCCAAAGTTTTTAATTGTTAGAAGGAGAAAACCATGTGCACCTTTGAGATATATTACCTTAGTACAAATAGGAGACAGTGTCAAGATTTCTACAAAGTATACAAAAAGTCCAAGAGAAGCCAACTACATTGGCACAACTCTCAACACAGTTGTAAAACGTGGTAAAATCTCATGGAATGTGCAAATCCTAGAAAATTGATTTTTAACTGTACCACTTACATATATACAGAAACTGAGCCTCCTCGCTTCTCATCAGCTCCTCCTACTTATTTTCTGGTTTATGTATTTGTGACATAATGGCATTATCACAAACTTGGGTCGGAAATTAAACAGCTCCTTTTTCCATTCAAGAAAGCGGATTTTAAAACTCTGTCAAAAATACACTAAATAGGACAACTCCTACTTTTATGAAGCATCCATGAGTTTTACAAATTCACTGAGTTAAGAAAGCCTGAAATTGCTTCCAGTACCACACACTGCACAACATGAACACACACAAGAACCACATTCAGCATGAAAATTACTAGCTGCTGTGCTCCATAATTCCAGTGCTGAATTAGGCTCCAACAGCTGAGCAGCTTCTCGTCAAAGAATACGGAAGAGGCACGGAGAGCTCGCTCTCTCTGGACTACAATATTGGCCACCAGAGCATACATGACTACCATCCACAGAGAGGAATACGACTGTTTCGTGGAATTAGGAGAACTTGGTCAATAACATAATTGGAGCTGGGAGTAAACTTTGTACTTACACAAAAGTTGTGTATAAGCATTTTATTTATTTTTTTTATAAAAGTTTTGCTGAATGTCAGAAAATACGTATTTGGACAATCTCCACTTTCTGCTTGTATCATAGACATACGACCATACCTTGCCCATGCACACAAATAAAGAAAACAACAGTCTATATGGTACTGCAATCTTGGGGCTGAGCAGGCCCCTTATCAAAGCAGTGACTAATGATAGTTTTTGAAATTTGAAAATAATACCACTAAGGATTACTGCAGGGAGACCCCATAGTGGGCAAACAGTGCTTTTTATATTCTCACCCTCAACCACCCCATATATACCATAACAAAAGAAAATAAAGATCACATGTGGGCAAACACACATGTTTCTCGCTACAGCTGCTGTGACTATAAAATTACATCATTTATATCAAAAGCACTTTTGCCACACATGCAAAACAACTAGTTTCCTGAATTTCTTCTCTTTGAGTAGTGCATCTTCAAGGCCACGGTGTATCAACAACGGTGTACTTTTCACATATCACACTGCTCTTCGGTTCTGGGAATTAAAAAAAAAAAAATTGTGTTGGGTAGAGCAGCAACACTTTGTGTTGCCTACTCAAGTTACAGCTTAAAAAAATTACTTCTTTTTATTTCAAACTTCGAAAGCATGCTTAGCACTCAAATAATGGAGAAGAGCAGTACTAACAGCAAGTGATGTTTCAGCCTCTCCACAACAGAAAAGTGGACACTGTCTTGGAGCTCCAACTCATGAACTGGAATAAGCTGTAGTGGCTCCCAGCCTTCGCTGTCTAACCCATCCTGTCTCTACTCCTAATGCTGGTTTACTTTCACATGCCATTTTGTAGGCTAGTGCGCTTCAGCATCTGACTCATCCCTTCAGCATGTGTGTGAACTTTCAAGAGAAGGTTAAGGTAGAAAGCAGGTAGAGCTCAAAAGGTTCCTGCCTCCAGCTTGCATGTCAGAGCCCTTGCGCCTGACCAGCAAAACCTTCTGTTATTTTTAGGAGCCATCTTTCAAGGCAGAAAAAGCAGACAGACTTCTAACCCTACACTAAAAGTCAAAATGAAATGGATAATTAGAAATTTCTGTGCTTTTGAAAGCTCTACCTAAGCACCAGAAGAGGAGGCAGGTTTTTATAAGCCTAAATGAGACCCAGGAAGAAACAGTCAACTTAAAGAAGTTGGATCTCCAAGCAAAACTCTACCTTGTTCTTTAGCGGTATGTGGTAACCATATTGATCCCATCCTTATCTCCCTTCCCGTCAGTTTTGAATGCAATAGACTGGCAAATATCTATTTGTTTCATGATCTCAAACCACTGCCGTGAAGAACAAGCAATAGTCACTTCTGAAGCAGGACGTACCTTCCACTACTCCTACTTCAGATGATACTAACTGCTATACATTTTATCAACGCATTCAGGAGACACCAATGCAGTTGTCCTTTGCAACTGCAAGTGCTTGTATTCCTATTGATTTAGAAAATAATCCTATGGCATATTTGGATGAATCATGTAGTAGTCATAAGTAACATAAACCTAGCAGTACATGGTATTTGTAAAGAAGCCTGTTTTTAAAATCAACTGATATACCTTTTTCCAATTAGGGCTAACTAGTACCTCATTTATTGTCACATTGTCAATTCATGCTTTCTAGAAGTGGCATGACATAAGAATATTTCAAGTAAATTAACAGATTTAGAGTGACCTTACTCTTTATCCTGACTAGCAAAATGTTGTATTTTGATGCAGGAGTACTAGGCTAAGGGTGTAGTGATACCCCGTGACAAGCTTGCTCAGTTTTCAGGAAGAAACAGAAGTACCAATAGCATCAACAAGTGTTCTTTTACCCTACTCCCACGAAAAAGAAAGTACAGCTTCTGAATAGAAAAGAATCAATAAAAGACTGTTTTCATTTTCAAACCTGAGCATCTAATCTAAAATTTAAGCTCTTCAATGAGAGCTGCAGGAACCAAGAATCTTTGCAAACTTGGCTACCCACTTTAGGTACCAGTCTGGGAATTTTGGGCCAAGTTAGTACAGTCTCTCTCATTTCATGCCTTATTATATATTTGGAGAAGTCTATACATGTAGTCGGTGTTGCAATCTTACAGGCTGTTATAAATTCAAAGGACTAATCGCAGCATTGAGGGCATTTCAATAGGAAGAAATCTTAAATTAGGCCAGGACACTGCAACATACATCTTTCTTTACAATATCTGGCAGATCTTTAAACATCAAGCATAGCCAACGGGCAGAAGCCACAGTGCACTTCTAGATCTTAAAGTTCAAAATTCAGGTTTGTCAAAAATAAGTTGAAGTTAGTTAAGCAGATCTTAAATTTTATTAAGATGTGTTTCAGTTCTGTTTGTTTTTAAACACTACTATCTGACCCTGAAAAATAATAAACTGAGAGAAATCTGATTGGAATACAAACAATCTAACAAAACCCAGAGAATTGAAATAACATCTGAAGGGCAGGAGGGGGAGAGAAAGTCTACTTTTAAACCACTTTCCTGTGCACTTCCAAGGCAGATCACCAATTAAATATGTAGAGAAGGCTTAGTCATATAAAGAACAAAAGAACCACACCCCAAAAAATAAATACAACAACCCACCACTAATTAAACAGTCCATGCATCTGACATACTATATGAGCACAAAGGAAGCATACAAACTATTTGACCTTCCACATTTGATCAGAAACATACTATTTAATAATTCCCTCTGACTCATCCTTTTCATTGTGTAGAAATACACATTCTTCCCCTATGCATGACACAGAAAATACATATTCTTTCTTTTCAATGAAATATACTGTGAATAAGAACAGCACCTGCACTGAAACCTGTCCTCCAAGTTTCAGCATATTAGCACTGGGCAACTCTAAACATCAAAATCCCCAAATACATGTTAATTAAGATAAATATCTGGAGACATTTTTGGACTTACCATCATTCTAACATCACTCCTTTTGCATCTTTAAAAGCCAAGCAAATGTATTAGTAAGAAGCCAAAAGTGAGAAATGCTTCATAATTAATAGTCAGATTAATTCTAAAGTTCAGGTTAGAAATTGCTACTACTCGGCATGCCAATTAGTGAACAGAATAGCAAAAAAAAAAAAACAAACCCAAAACAACACCCCCCCCCAAAAAAAAACCCCAGAGTCATCCTTTTCTCACTGTAAACTTCCCCCATCTTAAGCCCTATCAGTTTTACAACTGTATGGTACAGTTTCCCCAACCCCAAAAAATATCAAAAGAATAGAGTGAAAAGGATAGATTTTGCTATAATCCTAAGTGTGCCACCAAGATAAATGCTTATGAAGAAGAATTAACAGCAACTTTCAAGACCTGTCCCTCTTTTCCACTTAAAAGTTGGACTTTTTGCAAAGCAAAGAGGGTGGATTGGATATAATATCCTGAGATATTAAATTTGTCCTAGAACAGTCAAACAATGCCACTGGCTAGCAAGCACAGTAGCATAGACCAAGGAGTCTGGAGCTGGAGGCATAATTTCATCAAGAGAGCAAACTCTTACTGACTCAGAGCCACATAAGTTGACGTACCAATCTGCCAGCTCAGTGCTGTTGTACTGAGAACTACAATTATTTTTTGACCTTTTCCCATAATTAATCCCTGAATTAGAAGATAAGCCTTGAATATCACCTACCATTTAGTGGTTCTTCTACAGGTTTCTGCAAAACATTTAAAAATATATATATGTATAAAAAGCCTTCATGTTTACTTTTGGCTCGCCACAGTTAAATTACTCTAATTGACATATACAGTAAGTAGTGATTCTACAAAAATGAAGAAAGCTGAACGTTAATAAAATTAATGACTAGAGTTTGGGGGGGGTGGGGGGGTGAAAATCTGTCAATAACTGCATTCTCCAGATTATTTTTCCACACTGTAAATTTTTCCTCACACAAAATACCTCTAGGTGGCAGCAAAAGGCATGCAGATACTACTTTTAAGCTCTAAAACCTAACTGATTATTTCTGTGATTTGATCAACGGTTAGAAATAAAGCAGCATGACTGAAAAAAAAGAAACAGTAGCCAAGTAATCAAGTGTAAATCTCCTCAAAAGGAAATACACCACAGTTGTGCATTTAGTCTGGTAGACAATGATCAGAAACAACACACGCAATCTACAGAAATGTTTTAAAAAAAAAAAAAATCAGTAATCAGTTAAGATGGCAGATTTCAAAATACACACCTTTTCCCTCTCAGACTCAAGAAAATATCAAGCATCATTTTATAAGTGTGCCCCAGTGTCAAAATTAAGCACTTAACTGACATTAAATTTTCCATACTCTTTAGATTACACAGAATCAAAGTGTATTTTACTTCACCCCTATTTATTGCTTCACACCTATTTACTGCCTCAAAGTACAGCAATATATGCTGAACAGCCCTTGATGGAAACAAGCAACATATTAACACACTTAATTTTCCACTAGGTCTTTCTGTAACTTCCATAAGTTCATGGGCACAAATTATTGTCACCTGAATTCCTCTGTATCTGATGCTCCACTAACTGCAGCTGCAAAAAACGTATTTTTAGTGGTTGAGACTTCCAATGGCCTCTAAGTTTTAAAAATTTCTTTTTCTTTCATTCTTGTCTCCAATTCAGAGAGTAACATGGTGTTCACTACTACGTAACTACTACATGGACAAGAGGAAATGGGCTCAAGCTGCGCCAGGGGAGGTTTAGGTTGGATATTAGGAAAAATTTCTTCACGGAAAGGGTACCTCAAGCATTGGAACATGCTGCCCAGAGAGGTGGTGGAGCCACCATCCCTGGAAGTGTTCAAAAAACGGGTAGATGTGGCACTTTGGGACACGGTTTAGTCTAGTCTACCCTTGATTGGTTTAGTGTGGACTTGGTAGTATAGGTTAATGGTTGGACTGGATGATCTTAAAGGTCTTTTCCAACCTAAACTATTCTATGATTCTATAATTGTGGCTATTTCTTTATTTGCCAAATCCTTGCTGCAATGTAAAACCACCTTGTGAAGAGAACAGCTCATAAAGAGAACGGAGTTCCACAAAGGATTTTATTTAGCATGTTGGTTTCTATTGCAGAGCTTAGTTACAACCAAAAACTAGGTTAAAAAAAAAACCTCCTCTTGACCTGTTTGCTTCCATTCTACAAGTAAACATGAGCCTGTCAGATAAAGGCAAGATTGCGTTTTGAAAGAAGCTATCTGTAATACACGTCTCAGCTCATTTTTATAATGTAATGAACTTTGTGAACCTCCTTTTTCTTTTCTTTTTTTTTTTTTTAAAAGTCCGTGCACTTATATTCCTTTTATAAGTAAGAGACCAATCCTCTGAAATACTATTCCTTAAAAAGAAAAATGGGTGAGAAAAAGCAAAGGGGGGAAAAAAAAATCTGTTGTACTAACTGGGTCAGCTCTCCTGCCTCACTGTTAGAAACCATCTTTCTTCAACAGCTGGGTCTTAGGCTGCAGACTGAAGAGGAGACCTGGAAATGTGTCTCAAATGATGGCTGCCAACCAAGAAATGGGATGTCTTTGCATTTGCCTTGCTCCCCTGCTACAAGGAAATTTTACTGGTATCTTACAGTTGTGCCCCTTTACTTGCTTCTGCAAAACTCCAGAAATCAGGCAGTTCACATTCATGGATCACTAGAAACCACTGCGTAAGTCTGTGAAAATTACTGGTTTAGGAATTATTAGAATTCAAAAAAACTAACTGAAAAATTTAAAAATTTAAAAAAACAAAGTGCTTTTCCATTTGTTCTGTGTGACCTAAAGACAGATGCTATGCTTTTAGAAGGTCTCATCAAATTAGGGGGCATTACAGGAAAATAAGAAAAGAAAAAAAAATCTGATCAAGGCTATAGCATTCATATAGCTGGGAATTCAAGAGAATACTAAAGGGTTCTGATGTAAAAGACCAGAGAGAAAAAAAACCCTAAGTCTTTGTTATAAGCTACCTAGATGAAAAAATTCAATGGTATTCTGCACTCACCTTAATGAAAAAGCATTTTCATTAAGGTGAGCAAAAAGTCTTTATAAATTCATGTGAAAGAGTGCATTGCAAAAGAACACCAAACTTCCCTTCACATCCACCACCTTTTTGTGGCAGGTCCTGAAACTCCATTTGGGCACAACAGTCAGAGTAGCTGTTAGGTAAGGGTGGCAATTACAGTACTATAGACACACTCAATAGGGACAATGAAGACCACCAACTCACTCAACATTAGACATCTGTTACACAGCCAGAACTTTTGCTTGCTACCAACCTGGTCTGAATTCGAACTAGTGAAGAAAGGTTCAGTATCTCACTACAATCCCCTGAGCCATCTAGTCACCCCAAATTTATTAATTTTAAGCTTACCCCTGGACGAGGATGATCTTTCATTCTGGAACCTAAAATAATTACAAAAAAGTGACCAGGCAGATTAATAAACGTCATGATCAAACAAATAAAAATAGCTATTGATAAAACTGGAACAGAGTAGCAACACACAAAATTCCCCTATCCAAAACTAATTAATATGATGATCTGCAAATACTTAAAGCCTCTAAGCACTCCTCTGTTTAGGAACTGAATAATCTTATCACATACAGTCTGTGAATTGTCTCACTCGTGCATTCAGCTCTACAAATTAATTACGCTACATGCTATGCTTTGAGCTTACTTTCGTGTGCTGGAATCTACCCCAACAGTCATTTGACTTCTTCAACCAGCATAATCAAACTACAAATGCATTATTTACGCAGACCCTTAGCACACAGCATCGAAGTCGTATATATGAATGGCCCAAAGTCAATAAAAATTACTTCTATTGTTGTTAGAAGACTTGCTTCACCTCTGTTGCATTTTTGACTCATCTTCATCTATCTCAGATATCAAACATCAGGCATTCTGCCTTAATTTCTTCTTTAACGGAAATCCTCCCAGTCTCAGCATCTATTATTTCTGACCATGCCCACACATGGTGTGCACATACTAAACCTGGAAGACTGCATAGTTCAGCACAGACTAAGAACTGTGCTGACTGTATACACATCAGCTTGTGTGTGGAAGCAGTACATCCTCAGTTGCATGGCTCTGCATCCAAACTAACAAGTTGTTTGAAGAGCCTTCATGCACAGCTTGAAACAAATAAAGTCACTCTGCTCTCAGACCCAAGCTGTAAAGTCCACATAATGTTATGCTGTGGTGTGCCAGCTTAGAGATGTCTGCATCATATTCCAACCACACAGCATTGCTGTGTTTTTTGCTGCTTTAGCAGGCCTGACTGGCTTTTATACCTTTAAATCTCTCATCTTTTTGAGATCTGGTGAACAAACTGGTTTCTGAAACAAAGCACTGCTACTCTTTGCTCCTGGCTTTTAAAATTAAGCATAAGAAAAAATAGGATTCACTAAAATGGAAGGTGTACATTCAAATTGCTCTTATTTTAACGTACCTCTAACCAGTACAAATCGCTAGGCAGATTTTGCTTCTTTAAATCCATATTCTGATAAGCTTTTGTCTGCACCATCCCATAACCCATTCTGTAGAAGCCTTGAAATCCTTTTGCTCTCTTCATTCTAAGCTTCAGCTAGCCAACTGTGTAAATGGAGAGCTTAAACAGCAACATCTGTCCTACAGCTGAAACACTCTTACTTAAAGAAACCTGGTTGTGTTGATCTCAAGACAGTTTATTATGATAGCCTGTAAATTTCTTTACTCAAGATCCCCCCCAGTCTCTATGAAACAAAGCCAAAATATAGACATTATTTCAGTAATTTTTTAAACTATGTAATTGTGAAATCACACCTTACATACAAATAAGCTATGTCTACCTCTGAAAAGTACAATAGAGAAAATTGCGCTTCTGAATATTCAAGTGCCAAAAAAAACTAATGCAGAATATTAGTTGCTACTTACCCATAACAAACACGTAAGCCAGACTAAGCAAATTTGCAATAGCCATAATAGCTAAGCCAGCAATCACAACAGACCCATGTAAGGGAGGACAGGCTGTTAAAAACACAATACAAGAAATTGCATCATCTGACACAAGTAAAAGTACAAAATTTGATTTTTGTATGTAACTGAATACTAAAATAAATAAGCCTGATAAAAACAGATGTGATTAATTTCTCTTTCAAAGCTATCCCAGAACTACTTCTGCATCTTTATTTTCTGTATACACTCTTTAATGATACAGAGGCATTTACTGATTTCTCCTGCTTAGCTGTACTATTCTACTACAGTTTAGCTATTGTCATTCACTTCAATTGACAACATTCTTTCATTAATTGTATTTTACATTTAAACTTGCATCTTCAGTTGTTTTGAACGAAAATTGCATTCGATTACAGAATACGATACTGTTACTGATAAAAGAGGGTAAAAAAAGGGAAGAAGGGAGCAGAATATGAGGGTAGTTCTGAGGCAAATCCACCACAGACAACAGGCACGCTCCACGTTTACAGGGGTATCACAGAGCAGGAACAGGCTATTACAACCTAACCACAGTTCACTACAGAAACTCCTTGTTCTCTGATCCTTGTTTCCAGGGGCTTGAAGTCATTGCAACTACCTGTGAGCTCAACCTAGGATGAGCTATTTCTACCAACCCTTAAGGGTCACTGAGCTAAACTTCCAGATACAGATAACATCTACCTTACCTGACCTGTGAAAAGGTCACCCTGAAAAACTAGGGAGACTTTCCATTTGAGAGCACAATAAAAACATCCTCCATTTTGTATTACTCTAGAGGATTAATGCTTTACCAGAAATCTCCCATCAGTTTATTTTACTATTACATTTGACAACACTTAGGTGCCCCTTACAAATACTTCTGTAAATACTAAACAATAAGCATAAAACTCAAATCACAATTCCACTGAAAGGTCTATCATTTCACCCAGATTAGACAAACCTTTAGAAACCACTTTGAGGAGAAACAGTTTTCTTAAATCCCTAACCAAACAGATGATTAAAATGAAGAATGTCTCTAAGAAACAATAGATCAGGGGTATAAAGTGCTTCCAATGAACACAGTATGTTTCCTACTATCAAATATACTGCCAAGGATGCCTAGTCCTAAATTCACCCTTTTCTCAGCTGTGGGGCTTTCTGGTGGGGGGAGGGGAAGGCAGGCAGGGGACAAAGGGAGGGTTAGAGGCAGAGATATGGGGTATCACTCTCTGTGTGTGTAGGCGGTGTGTAGTTGGTGTTCCTTTACAACAGGGACTGGTTTTCAGTGCTGAAACAGCATGCCAGCCACAACCAGACTTAAAGCAGTCCAAGAACGCTTCCAAGTTTACTGTCTCTGCATATGCCTTCTTAGGCTGTTTCAATGGTATTTGTTTCCCAGCGACTCGGTTATCAGTTGCATACAAGCGGAGATTAACAAGGAATTTCTGATTTATTCACTGAACATGAGAAAATTATGATGACTAGTTGAGTTTCTAAATACCCTAGGCCTCAGTAAGAGTAACAGTAATAAAGGTCAACGTTGGGTTTAGGTGACACTTTAGAGCACTAACTGTTGCAAAATTAAAACAATTAACTTTTTTTTTTTTTTAAAAGCAACTGCTCATAGAATGCAGTCATGCTGGATATAGTCACACTAATGAAACTGATATATGTAATACAGCCTTTGGGCTACTCTTCTTTCATTGGATAAAAGAGCATTAACACAGTAGTCCTGAAGTATGTTCACAGAAGTTACTTGCTAACACTCAATGTAGTGAAGCCATTTTCACAGCATTCTATTGTTACAAATAAACAAACATCAGGCCCAGACAAAAGTAAAAAGACACTTTTACAGAAAATAAATTGCTTACCTGAGACACACAGTGCAAAACCAACCATGGCAATTATGTAACCAAGAATTTGCAGGCCTATCAAAGCAAATGTGGCTTGTGGTAGATTATCGAAAACTGGGAAAGGCAGAAAGAGAAACAAAATTATCATTTTTAAAGATTAACTAAAGAGATACAAAAGGTAGGTCATTCACATAAAGCTAGAGGTCAGATTCTCCTAAATTCCAAGCTCAGCCAGCCAGCGTGGTAACAAAACTCACAAGTCACTGCGGAGTCACTCAGGGCTCTTGCATGTATACACACACACACACAAAAATATATGTAGATATAAATAAAATTATAAATAAACCATAAGTACAAAAAAATGAAACACATGCATTCTGAGAGTTAGTTATTCATCCCAGTCCCAAGATCCAGGAAGGAAGAGTAGGAATCAGTCAGATGTTCTACCTTGAATCTCATTTTTCAAGCAGGGAACTTATACTTCTTCCCTGAAGCAACTTAGCAAACAAACACAGGTTAAAACATTTTGTTTTGATATACAAGGAAGGTCAGGAACCCAGCATGCTATCATAGCACCTATTTATAAAAATGAAAATAGTATGTAGATTGGGGGGGGGGACACGACAACAGGACACGACAGGGGTGGTTCAGTTTTTCTAGCAGTATGTTCTTGAGCTAGTGAACAAATAAATACTCACCAATTCCAAAGATAAAGTATTGAAGTGGTACCAAAATCACAGCAGGTCCTACAATTAGGCCAAGGCCAGCTTGTTTCTGTACAATATAGCCATCTGCAAACATTTGTATGGAAATTAGTAAAACAGAAATCCTTGATTGGAAAAAAGCACAAAGCAACAAAAGTAAATCATTCGTATCGCCAAGTGGTTAGGGTCCAGAAAAAATCCCATGGAAGCACCAGAAGTCACTCCCTAGCCACTAATATTCACCCAAGGTAGCAGGACAGAAAATAGAAATAAACTTGGGAGTCTGTATCTCCCTATGATCTCTGAAAGCCTGACGACGACAACACTGTTTTTGTTGTATTCTGTAATTTTATTTTTTATTTTAAAATTAGTAGAGTGCAATTAATAGGCGGTACTAGCTTCCATACTACTGCATGGAAGAGATTCATTTGTGCTCTTACTCCCTTAAACTAGGAAGGCAATTTTAATACACTTACCTTGGACAAAAAGAACAGTGCCTACAACAGCAGCAATTGTGACAACGACACCTGCTACAATAAAGCTCATTTTCTTCTGAGGTACAATGTCATATTTGAATGCTAAAGACGAAACAAAGAGAGACAGAGAGGAAAACAATCAGGCATACAGATTCTCTCACTAAAATACACAGATTTTATGATTAGGACTGTTGTCCTAAAAGAAACAAACTCCTAAAAAAATAGAACTGTAAATATTACCAAGACTTCATTTGTTTTCATTGTTTGATATGGTTAATATGGCTTACTCGGATAAATGAAACCTGGCACTGGTGTTTTAGTCAAATTCTTAATCCCACCTTCTATAAAATTCAGGTGACATTATCAAAATAACTTTGGGACATGGTACAGATTAATTCAAGTAGATGAACCACTGGCATTTAAATAATGTTACAGTGAATTTGTTACTCAGGTGAGTGTCAGCCAGGGATTTAGAAATTCCAGGTTTAATTCTCTTCCCTTGTGACACTTGTGTGAGCTCAGACATACCACCTCTATGCCCAAGGGAACAGGATGATGTTCCCATCTCACCAGAATGTTGTGAGAATGAGTGGATATGGGGTGACCTACATGTTCAGGTGCCATAGACAAGACTAATTTTCAGTAAAACTGCACTGCTAAACAGCTGCCATCTCAGAAACGGCTTATTCCAGTGGAGGGTTTCAAAGCAGCAGCACTTTAGTAGTCTTTGGAAAAGAAGGAACAGTACAAATACAACATCATAGTAAGGCGTGTTTGTTTCTGCCTTATACAGTGCTAAAACTAAGACACAAAAAAAGGCAGCTCTTGCTCCAAGCTTGAAAATCAATATACCAACAACCTTGGTATATGTTGAAATTGGTAACCAGAGAACGAACAAATACTGTAAGTAACTTCAAAAAGAAAAACAAAGAACACATACAGAATTAACATCCCACTTACATGCACTGTGTTAGCACAAAAAAAAAGTATCACAAGGATACAGTAAATATTTTAGAGGGCACATATGACAAAATCTTTAATAGCATCTTATCTGTGGAAGGGTTACAGAATATTCTCTCTTGTAATTAAAACTCTATCTTTCATTATATTCACAGTGTCTAACACAACAGGATCCCAGTCATACTTCCAAGTACTACTGTTATTTAAACCAAAAACTCATTTGCAATAGTAGTAATACTAAAAACTTCCTGCATATCTGTACTGGCAATCCACATTTTTTCATATTATAAATATGCTAAATAAGGAAAGCAAGACACAAAGGCAAAAATAAGTAATGCATATGCTACACTTAAATCCTAAAAGCCAATCCCGTAAGCAAAAAAACCCAAAAAACCCCACCCCAATCCAACCAACCAAAAAAACCCCCAAAAAACCAACCCCCCCCCCATAAAACACAAAACCAAGAAAACATACATTCCCAAGCATTACATGGAAAAATCAAGCCCAGTTTAACAAAGTATTTAAAGGTTTACCATAGCATTGCTGGATTCACAGGTTAACTAAAACAGTGCAAATTAAAGGTGGGTGGGGCGGGGGGGACCAAACCAAAACCAAACAGTAAGTACACCCACATTTATTAAGTTAGAGGTAACATGACTACTTTTCCCCAGAGAGGTCACAGACCTTGCAATAAAGTGCACAGATGCAATAAAATCAGGCTCAACTTACTCCTGTAAAATGACAGTGCTTCTCCATGAATGTATCCATGCTTATTTCAGGACAACTATTACTTCTCTATCAAAATGCTAAAAATGTTGAAGTTCTGCTACGAATGGAAGGCAATCACAATTCCTGAACATATCAGAACAAATCAGAGACTCCTTAACCATTATAAACAATAACGAAAATCAGGAATCTAACACTATGGAAGTGAAATTATTTATAATATGTATGTTAGTTGTCAACCTCTGACCACCGATGGTCCTTTGAAGAGTCACATACCACTTGCAGAGGTTCATGAAAAGGTAATAAAGGAAATTATATAGAGATGGCTGAATATGTATGCGATTACTATAAATCACTGAGTGTGATTTCTTTCCATTTCTTATGCACTTGACTCTAAGCAGAAATTTTATTTTTTTTTTATTTTTAGAAGTCTACAAATTGAAAAAGGCTGAAAAAACCTCAAAGACTGATATAACAAATTGCACCACAGGGAACTGTCTGAAAGGCTAGGACATGAAGCACACTCTACATTGCACACATGTTGGACACCAGTGTATAAAGAACATCTAAGGATGTCTGACACTGGTGAACATATTGCCTCTGAAAACATTTAACAAAATCATTGATGTCAGTGTTAAATTATAACTCAGACAGTGCTAAAAGACTAATGAACAATTTTACATTAAGAAAAGAGCACTATCTTTCTCTAATATTGATTTTATGACCATGAACGTGTTTCTGTTTGTAATGATTCAATGTCACGGTGAACCAACAGTGAAGAAAAGCTCCCTTGTTCTAACCAATGACAGGAGACATTATCAACTATACCCCACAAAAATTACACACATGCATAAAAGCTCACCCTTTGCAACAGTACTGGCAGCAGAAACGTTACCATGTGACAGACTAGCTCTAAACACAGACCCTTTACGCTGCATGTCATACCTTTGTCTACAAAGACGTACTGCTGCTAAAAATCTTAACCCCAGGAAGCAACCCCTGGCCTCCAGGCAAATAGAGCGGACTGGCCCAGATCCCACTGCTTAGGGCTAGACCCCCCTTCAACATAGTGCCTGCATCCACACTGCATTACTGGGGCACCGTGTGGCATGCTGAGACCCCAAAACACACATCTTTTTGATGAGGTCATGTTTGTTTTCAGTTCAGAGGTCCCAAACTCTGCAAATGCTATGCCAGACTAGTGTTTTCGTAGCTTGATGCCAAAAACATATGTTACACATCCTGAAAGAGTGCAAAGCTCACTTCTCAGGAAATGGAAGACCACGTAGCACTGAAGCGTACAGCTTGGTGCGCTTACTGAGGAAGCCTGTAAGTAACAGTGCTTATCAGGAACTATCTTGAGAACTGTATACGAGTTAACTCTCTCATGGTGTTAGCTGATTCATGACAAAAGAAAACCCAGAAATGAACGTAAGTAACACAGTGTGGATAATCAGGAGAGGATTCCAGAGCAAACCAAACACCACGTTACGTGACAAAGACGACGTACCACCCCTCTGTTATTACCTGGATCAATTCTACCAGACATCTTTTAGATGTAAGCACCATCTTTCATGTTACACAGATGCCTTTATGCAAGCAAGTGATTTTAGGATAAATCAATAATTGAAAAGAATTAGAGTCAATACTTACCAGTAACACGTAACTGAGCCAAACACAAAATAATAGCTAAGATCAGCAACGCTATGATGACAACACTTTCCACTAGAAGAAACCATGATCCTAGAGAATAAACAAAGCAAAACGGTAGGAAGAAAACAAGAACTGAGGTTATTAGCTTTACACTTACTGCTCCTTTTAGGCTATGCTTTAGATTGCTCAATACTGTATGTAATAGTTAGCATTAATAGTTATAATAGGCTAAGAAAGCTATGACTTCTACCTATGTATTTTTCACTCTGCTGTTGTGTGTAACGACCTATTTTTTCAGTATTTCTAGTTACCCTAACATTTTCCAACCTGGAGGTCTTAACCTCCGCTGCAGCAGAGAATATGTTTATCCTATTGTCTAGCAGTACAAGCTAGTTAGCTTGTGGAACTACAAAGAGCACAGTATATCAGAAAAATGGTGTATTTAGGCTAAATGGGGAAGCTGGGCAAGATATAAAAACTCCAATTTGATGCTTCCCCAGCTATTCCATTCTACTTCCAATTGCTGTAACTCCTGAAGAAATCCAGATATGTGATAAGGAATACAGGAGCTAACCTAAGTGAGAGGGAAACACTGCTTTGTTAATTTTAGAAATCACACGTTTTCCTTCAGGTCTTCCCACCATTGTCCATACAGCTTTTTTTCCCTTGCATCTTGGATGCTTTAGGCTGTTCAGTCACTCGTGCTGCAAGACCGTGTAAGCCACCTTCCAACATAGAATTCTGAAAATATCTCTACTGAACTAGAAAATCCAGTTGATTCTTGCATCTGTGCTCATAGCTTCATTTAGACTCACTGAGTCCAAAATCTCCATTTCTTACATTATACTTGCCATCATTCCTCTGCCTGCACACTTGCTCTCAAAGAAATTTCTAATCCTCATTTAGATGCATACTCCTTGTACTTACTCTCCACATTTAAAAGCTGTATCCGCAGCTCCAGAAACATGGAATTAAGTAGCAATACCTCACAACTTTCTATGCCAAGTAAATACCTTGAGGACAGTTTTAAAATCACAAATTCCCCTCTCCCACCCCCACCCCCCCACCCGCAAGGGGTCACATAAGAAGATACTGTGGCTACAACATAAACAGAAGGTAATCACAAAATATACTAAAGGCAGAGAAAAGAAGGAACATCTGCCAACTTTCTTATTGCCAAATGAAGCCAAATTTAATGAATTGTTTAAAGGAAGGCTTTTTGTTTCATTTGCATTTTCAAAAAAGCAACTAATATTGAACAGTAACTTCAGTGCACAGTTGCCATTCTCTAGGTTCGTCAAATCTTACAGGCAAATCCCAGCAATGGTGTTCAATATAACTGAGAATTATTAATGAAAGTATCTGTAAGCAGAAACTGAAAAGCAGCTTCACTTCCTCTGTAGCATTTCCAGATGATGCTACAAGGTATTACAAATAGAAAAAAAGCAGCCATGAAGCTTGTTATCTGCTAGGACTTCAGCATGCAACATGGAACCACATATGGTCCAGTCTCAGAGTCTAAAAGCACTTACTGTATGGAAATGCTTACAATACTGCTGGTACATGCAGCATGCAATTAAGAGAAAGAGCTGAACACATCCTCCTGGTAATACATTTCCCTTACTCTGGTGCTTCATAGCAATAAAGTAAACTCCTGGTGAAAAGTATTGTTTTGAGAGCCAACATAAGGAAGTAATTTTCAAACTAACACGAGAGACTTCCAGACATGGGGCGGGGGCAGAGGGCGGGAGAAGGGAGGGAAGGGGAGGGAGGGAGAGGAAGCTTTACGGTCACTCTCCTGTGAAGATAACTGATCAGGAAAGAGTGTGCCCAAAGACAAGGGCACTAGCATATAAGTCTTGCTCACTCTGCTACCCACTTCCTATGTGAATCTAGTAATTCTGTGAAGTGAGATGGCAAATAGTTGGCTCTTATAAGACTATCTTTGTAAAAGCATCAATTGGAACACATTAGTAGCGACAGCATGAATTCATTGCTCAGAAACGAGAGAGTGAAGACTGGTACAGGATTTCTATTATTGACTAACCCTTTTCAAAACTCACTTGTTACACTTTCTTCTATTAACTTATTATCTCAAGAGTCTCTCTTAGAACAGTGAGGAACAAATAACAAAATATTATGCAGAAGAATGTAAAGAGAGAACAAGAGACTGTTTTACCTTCAGCTAAACCCTCAAACATAAGACTAAGTTTTACATTTTCTAGCATATACTCTCAAACCTAATGTGACCTCGCAACTATAAGTTCTTCACCAACCACATTTTTCCTTTGGTGTTGGGGTGCTTTCCTTGCCGCAACTGAAAACTAGAAAATGAAATTAGAAAAATTACATCAGTTTCCTGCTTTGTAGTCTTTATACTGCTTTCAAAATTCTAAACACAGAGAAAGTAAAAATAAAACACTAAAATTTGCAATCAGGACTTGATTCTACTACATCCTCAAGCCTTGTTTCCTCTTCTAGAGCTTAACACTGAATGGCAAAAACAGTCCCAAAAAGTTGAGTAAGCAAGAAGCTCCAAGACAAGGAAGGAAACTGCCTACTCGTCTTCCCTGGTTTTGCAGTGTTCTTAGAAGGGAATGATTTTGTAGCATCCTCACTCTCTCAGTGGCTGTGCCCCTCTCAATCTGTTTCAGGATCACATTTGTCTTGCAGTGTATATGGTTAACTCAGTAATCAGACCCAACTGTGAATTACACATGTTTGCAGCAGGCCACAAGTAACATCTGTTTGAGCTTCATAACTATTTTAATGACAAATGGAAAAACTAATAGCAAAAATGTCCTAGGACAATTCTACACTGTATGGGTAAGACTCCATGTGCTATGCATATGTAACATATTTAGTGCTTCTGAGAAACTTTCCAGAAGCAAGGAGTAAGTCTCCTGTGCAGAACAGATAAACAATACAGATGAACGTTCAGTGAAACTGTCACCTCTGCAGAATACTAGACAGCCTGCACATGAAGAGCAGACCCTATTATTCAATAGCTGAGGTGCTAAAGCACATGGGCTGTGTCTGACAAGATACGGTAAAATGGCTCACTACCTGAGAAATTCATCGCTTAGCCACTGTTACTTTAGACATTGTCTTCTGAAGACAGCATTTAACGCTAGACAACCGTAACAAGTTACCATCTAGTAGTAGCATTTTCAACCTCACTGGAAAACTGCACACCTTCAGATCAAGTTTTAGAGCTCTTATACAGAATTTCTATTAGTTCTATCTGTAATTTTTCCAGCGTAACTAAAGATTGCAAGATGCAATTCTTAAAGCAAAGATCTCTGCAGCCACCGTGATAGCTGTATACATCTCAGTATTACAAAGATATTAGGAACATGTTGCAGTATGTAATGCAATAACATGAGGGTGCTGAAAATAGCACCAACTATATAATCTAAAAGATGTGGGAAAGCATAGATTTTACTATATTAGACAAGTGATCTTCAGACATTATTATAGAATGAAAAAATGTGTTCAGATCTTTCCCACAGAAGCACCCCCCTATAGCTTAATCCAAAATAACTCATATTAGCATTCAAGTTAGAAGGCCTGGGTGCTACATTTTTTGTATTTTCAACTTAAAGTAACACATTGTCATATTCATTATTTTTCTCTTTCCTGCAAGATTTTGCTTGTTTTCTCTCCCAACACGTTCTAAAACAATGGCAGACAACTCACCTGAGAGGTTTTTAAGTTCAACTGTTGTTTCTCCTTCTCTGTTTGATTCCGTTACTTCGCAACTGTAATTTCCAAAATCTGCTTCCGCACTGTCCAGCATTAGAGAGGCATCACCCTTGGGTAAATCCGCCTGAGATACTAAGTTAGCTGATTGAAATGCTTGATCTCTGAAAAACTCCTGTCTTGCTCCATCAAAAGAAAAAAATCCTTTTCCTTGTTTTTTCCACGTAACAAACATGACACTCACATCGTTCTCCTTTAGATTAGTCACATAGCAAGGTAAAATGACAGTTTTATTACAGTCACTTTTTCCAACAAAATCTGTCACCCTAAATATCAACTGGGCAGAACCTATAAAGAAAAATGAAAATTGACACATTCATAATTATTTCTGAATATAAAGAGAACAAAAAAAAGAATTAAAACATGTGACTTGGGAAAACAAAACAAACTCTCCCACAAAACCACAAAAAGAGAACCATGCTTTAAGGGAGTAACAAAGGAAGGAAAAAAGGCATTATTATAATTCTACCACAGCCCCTCTACACAGACTTAGCCATTCTCACACCCATTTAATGTGCAGATTAACATAACAGATCATAAACTGAAAAAAAAAAAAAGTAATAGAACTTTGGGCTATCACTTACTTGGGACACTTCCCCTAAAATGCCATACACAGAAATACTGCATTAAGGCCTGGTTTCTGCAAAGCATACACATAACATTAACCACAGGTTGTCCCACTGATTGTCCCAACTGTTTGTTGTTTGTTCCACAAATCTTTGCTGCTGATCACACAGGTATCTAAAAACGGAGGCCCAGGCATCAGCTCCACACAGGCATCCTCCACAGTTTGTTAAGGACAAGGGGAAAACAATTCTACTTTTACACTTTCGAGAGAAGGCAGGCAAGGCAGCTTAGTCAACAACGGTTTGTCATTTGTTCCTTCTTATCTCTGAAGGTGGAGCCAAACGCCCATAGGTTTAGATCGTTTCTTGCAAATTCTCTCTCTTTTCCTTTCCGATGGAGGAGGTGCATGCACAATACCATATTTTAAATAATATTATTACTTACTCAGTGTTTGAGTGTATACACAATAGAACTGAAGAGGGAGAATTTGTCACAACAAATGTCCCATATTATAAATCGCTGTGACCAATGCTACTAACGATAGCATTCAATGCAGGTAATGAAAAATCACCACCACACAGGATTATGTTATCACTGCTGGGTTTTATCATTTCTCTCCCACACGGCATCACAGTTCTAAAACAGAAGTACTGACTGACCACTGTTTCAAAAAAAGACCTAAGTCCTATGCTGAGATCTTATCTGAAATGAAGACCCATTCATCAGTTCTTGAGAATATCCCAAATTATAACATCAGTATTTAAATTACACCAGGAACCAGAAAAAAGAGGTTAATTAAACTAACTTGACTGAAAAACATGAAAGGTTTGAATCCTGTATTTTTCCTCATTTGTGTGAAATTGTAATGTAGTTTAATAGCTGTCCTAATAGTCCTTGCTCCCCAAAGTCCCAGTGGCATTAATCATTCAAAATGCTTGACTATTATCAATGTAATAAAACCAAATATGGGAAAAGATACATACTGTAAAAAAAGATCACAACCCCTAATACTGTAAGCACACAGACTTACAAACTGGAGTAGCTCCAGTGACTTCAGAGGAACTACTGGTATTCACATGTTTAAACCAGCTCAGAACTGTGATATGTATTTGATGACTAAATTCAGTTAGGGGAAAGGGAGGAGAAAAAAACCCAACCAAACAAAAAAAATGAATACAACTTGTGTCACTATTTGCAGTAGCTCAGTTTTTTCAAAGCAACAGTCATCAATTTAAAAAGCACTGATCCTTGAAACATTGCTTTAATATTCTCACACAAGTCACTGGATCACTACTGAATATCAAAGACTTATAATAAACTGACTAAGTATGCATGACAACACTTAACAATGAAGAAAGAATTATTCTCTGGTTTACTCATTGCATTGCATTTTTTTAAACTGTACCTCAAAAAATAAAAGTAACAAAAGTAGAACAAAAGGAAACTGTACCCAATTCCCAAACTATGCACTAATGAAAAATAAATGCACACAATTAAAAGCTGTAGTGCTTCAGTGATCCCGCCTGAAATAATTTTCACATCTGTTTTATTTTAACGCTACCTCATGATAAAAGATTTCTGAGTGTGGGGTTGTTGGGTTTTTTCTTTTTTTTTTTTTTTTTCCCCTCCTTTAGAGCTAGCACATTTAGAATTTGTAGGAAGAATTTATTCTCTGCTGGCTCCATGACTGAGAAAGGTGATTTTCAACTAAAGGAAGCAACTATACTTCCAAATACTTACCAAAGCAAATAAAAAAAAAAAAATCTTGAAGGAATTAAAAACAAATTGATCACGATCTTCTCACTAGTATTAGCACAGAATGACAGGGAGCTGTAAATTACTGATTCCACTGGTTTGCTGTTGTGTTGTCTATGAAAGCTGGCATATTTTGCCTGAAGCCAATTAAGAAGTACTCATGTGAACTGCTCCACCAGCAGAGCACTGGGGAAATAACGAGCAGGCTGCAGACAGGCACCAGCAGAAGCACACAGGCAAGTATTTGCGGGTTTTGTCCTCTGCAAATCTGACTGCTTTAGTAGAAGGGGTTGCAGTGGCTGCTATCTCACTAAAGGGAACCTGACTGCTTACTAGAGGTGATACTTCCATTGCCAACTTCCGATGTTCTTCTGGTGGTATGAGGAAGTCATCAGAACCCTTCAGCAACGGCTCCCAAATCCTGCAGGCAGCGGACTACTAGGTGGGCTCCTAGCCTCAAACTTTTTCAGGGATTATCAGCTTACAGGTGTCACATAAAGGTGACAATTTTAGAGCCTCATACTAAGCAGTTTGGGGGGGCCTGCTTCTGAAGAATATGCAGTTGTGAAGCTGCCACAGGAAGGTTGTTTCAAATGATACCTGTAGTGCAAATTTGGGAATACTGCACATTATGACAAAACTGGCTAAGCTTGGTAGTTGCACCTGCATTTCTCACTGACTACAAAAAATGGCAGGACACTCGGCATTTAAGCCACTCTACCGCTAACCCAGGAACCCAGAGATCATTTAGATACTAGCTTTAAACATGCAGGTTTAAGTGTGCTGCTTCCTGACAGAAGAACAACGGGGCATCTGCACCTCAGTGAAAGTGCTGTAATTTTTTTAAGTCTCCCTCCCCCCACCAAGTTTCTTCTTCAGGCACAGAAAAAAAGAGGAAGTTAGCTTGCGAGATACCATTTACATACCAGTGACACCCAAACTTTTAAGATGGAGAAATGTCGTCAAGCCTAGAAACCGTACAGCAGACGACCAGTTCGATCATGGTTATTCCTTCAAGAAAGCACAGGA